GAAAATATTCACTCACTCCTGTAAAGTAAAGTAAACTAACTGCACAATGGAAAAAAAACACGGAATGATAGAATGAAATGAAATACCCAGGCAGACATTTAACGGTCACAAACACGTTTAAAGGTGTGTAAACGTGTTTATCAATGAAATTTTCATACTAAACGTTTCTTAACAGTTTATCTTTCAAAAATTTGATCGAAGTTATCTTTATATTCGTGAGTTAGTCTCGATTTTCAATATATAGGGAAAAATGGGATGTGAACGCTTCAAAAACAAATAATAATAGTTATTCGCGTAAAAATAATATATATTTTTCTTACCTTGTTTCAATAAATATCAAGAAAAAACGATGAAATACAGCTATTATAATTTTTACAAGTTGCAGAGACTGAGAACACCAGAAATTTCTGCTTTCAGATGATCATTATAATTGATATTTTTCTAAAAATTGCAGGATTGAAAGCTTTTAAATCAAATGAAAAAGCTTGTTAGCGCAGCCCCTTTGGGGCTGAAATGTGGAACTCACATATCTTCTTTACTTTCACTTTGCTGATGGCAACATATATAATGTTTAAATTCTCTCAGAGACGATAATTCTTTTCTAATGATAATTGATTGTTAGGAAATGTTGTCGTTTTTCATTTATATACTTCGAGTAGAACCTTTTTTTCTCGTTGCTATGTGTCTGTAATGGGGGGTATCCATGTAATGTTCTTTTTGGTTGCTATGTGTCTGTAATGGGGGGTATCCATGTAATGTTCTTTTTGGTTGCTATGTGTCTGTAATGGGGGGTATCCATGTAATGTTCTTTTTCGTTGCTATGTGTCTGTAATGGGGAGGGGGGGGGGGGGGGGGGAGCCGCAAAAACTTGACCTTAAAACTTACACTCACTATTTTCTTCGAAAATATATGTGAGTTCCACAAAACTTCAACTTAAGCAAATATGTGGACAGACTATTGTCATTTATATAGCATCTAAGTAATATGTGTACATATTGTCATCAAAAGAGCAATAAACAAGAGAGAAATGACGTACTCTGGTACTTCCAGAGTACACGGAGTACAATGAAAATGCACTGATTGTTATTTGAAAAGTTTTTAATCATTTTTAGAAAACTCAGATAAATGCCAATTTTTCAGCCGTTATGGCTGACATGCATGGTTATGGTGTGTGACACATTGACAAGGTACTGTTTGAGCCTGGACGCCATCCGATATAGGATGACCTTGGACAAATCATTAACGGGAGTTTGTATCAGATCACCCATACGAGAGTATATTGACTATGTGATTGGCACACACAGAAGGCTTTTGTGGTTTGTTTGTGGTTAGCCCATAAGTGCGGGGAGCCTAACTGACTAAGCAGAAGAACTATGAGACAGGCCAGTCTTCTGTCAAGAGCTGCAGCTAGTAATAATTGTAGAGAAAATATCGAGCTGTCGTTCCTGTCGTCGGGCAGCATCTTATACAGAAAGGTAGATGAAATATAAGGGGTTCTGCTTCTTCAAACTTTTCAAAAGAATTATAGGATGGCTCGAATGATGACATGCACAACAGAGATGTTTACATTGCAGGCCTCATAAAAATTATTCATCTTACCTTTTTATTTTACAAGACACGTCAGGAGTAGATCCTTCCGCCATGGCAATTTCAAACAAAAGATCTTTTTAAACAAGTGCTTTAGTTTGCATCAAAAATGTGGAGAAATAGAAAATTAACACAAATACCATTATTAGATGACTCCTGGGACTATCGTATATCTGTGAGCAACTTATACTTCAGCGCAAATTATAGAAACAAGAGAGACCAAAAAATCACTAGAACGGAAAAGTATTGGTACTAAAATAAAAAGTCAGATGTAAGATTCTTGCAGATCAGACGAAAATTTCTGAAAAGCAGACCGACAATTTTCATCTCTGAAACGTTACATTAAATCTTGCTATAAGAGTCTCTACAGATTTTATTCCAACACAAGATTTCTTATAGCTTTATAGTTCTATCTTATAGGACGAAAAGATTTTAGAAAAATTTAATATTAAAATTTTGTGGAACTCACATATATTTTCGAAGAAAATAGTGAGTGTAAGTTTTAAGATCAAGTTTTCGCGGCTCTCCCTCCGCTCCCCCTACCCGTTGCAGACACTTAGCAACGGAAGCCCCCATTACAGACCTTAGCAATTGAGAATAATAGGCGTCAGAATTTTTAGAGGTTTTTTGCAAAAGTCATCGAGTTATAAGTTTGAAAAATCATGAACACCATTACTTGTGAGTTGATTAATATATATGATAGTGCGTAAGATCTACTGTACACTGTAAACTAGAAAATGAGTTATAGAGTTTAATCGAGGATATTCTAGGAATGCCTATATGAATTCGCCGATGAATTTCTAAATTCTTGAAAATAAGATATTCGAAACATTAAAAATATGAACTTTGATTTTCTAATTAGAAAATCGAGAGTGAATTCATATAGGCATTCCTAGAATTTCGGATTCGATATAGCAATTCGAGCATATTCTAAAAACTAGAAAATCAAATTTGATTTTCTCTTCATCATGTACACTGTAAACTAGACAATAATATTATAAACATGTACTTCATATAAAAGCATCAAATAACATAAATTAATAATTTTAATTTAAATATAAATAATAACATTTAATTTTATTTACATAAATGCATTGGATAACATACATAAATAATTTAACTTTAAACTTAAATAATAACAACATTTAATTAATATACATGCACCAAATTACATAAATTAATAATTTTAGTTGAAATATAAATAATAACATAACATTTAATTTATATAAATACATCAAATAGCATACACAAATAATTGTAATTTAAATATAAATAATAACATAAGATTTAAATTATGTAAATCCATTACATAACATAAATTAATAATTTTAATTTAACTGGAAACAATATCATAGCATTTGATTCATATAAATGCATCATATGAAACACATAAATAATTATAATTTAAATATAAATAATAACATAACATTTAATTTACATAAATGCATCGAATAACATGCATAAATAATTATAATTTAAATATAAATAATATCATAACATTTAATTTATATAAATGCATCAGGTAACATAGATAAATAATAAAATAATTTAAAATGAAATAATATCGTAGCATTTCATTCATATAAAATAAAATTTATCAACTCACCAATTGCCGAAGAATATAATGAATGCATAACACTATCCGCCGGCTTATATATATGAATGAACAATGACTCTATAGCGGTCATTGTTAAAATAATATTGTTCAAATCGAAATTGATTTTCGAATTTTATTCACAATCAGTGTTGATTTTCGATTTCTTTCGAAAATGAATTTTTTCGAAAATCAAATTGAATTTCTACAAATTGGAAAATCAAGCATTTTTGAATTATTCAAAATTCAATGAATAAATCATAACACTTTAAAAATGCTTCAGCTTATTTGAGATCGATTTTCCAATAAGTAGAATTTCAAAAAAATTTACAGTGTAGATATCATGAATATGTAAAACAGACTTATTTGTCAATTAGTTCAATGATTATAATAATAAGAATGTTAAATTAAGAGAAACGAATTAAAAAAATGAAAAAAATAATGAGCGAATAGCAACAATGCAAACAAAAAATAGGGCACCCGTAGAAAAAAAGTAATAAAATTCTGTTCGAAATGAAGAAATTAGAAAGGTCATTATTCTGAACGTCGATTATCCTGCAAAACAGCTATAGTCTACGAGAGGTTTATCACTTCACGTATTTTGTATTAGTTTAAAGAGGCTAGAGAGCATATGTGAGTTCCACATTTCAATTCCAAAGGAGCTGCGCTAACAAGCTTTTTTCTAAGAAATATTATGGTAAATATAGAGTAGTGTTTAGTTTGCTGCAAAATAGCATCTTCAGCAATAGTTGTATTAGAGCTGGCTTCGACTTAAATTCGAACTATCTCTTCTTTCCATTGTTTTTATAAATAGGCATAGACCGACGCTTCTTTTAGCTATTCTACGAATAATGCTACTATTTACCTGAATCTTGTTCGAATAAACATAAATTTTCTTCCCATATTGTCACAGTAATAGATGGCATCTGATTTAATTTTGACTCTATCATGACCCCTCTAGTGACAGCAGCCATTACCATTCGAATATCTTTATTCGGAGTTCCAATATGTTCCAGTAGATGCTTTGTAAATAAACCATTTTTTTCATTTGTTCCATCGTTTGCTATTGTTCCAGGTGCGCAGGCGAATGCAATCAACATTCCGGCTTTTCCATTCATTTGTTTTAAACCAGTTGGCCTGGAAAGATTTAGATACTTTGCACGTGCTGTTGCTATAACCAAATTAGGGTTACGTAAGTGATATACTCTGCAACAGTCCAAGAGAATTATCGTTGCAAATGGATCACGACCGTTGAAATCGTCCAGAATTTTTTGTACAAGAATCGCTCGATTGTGTATATTAGTAGCCTCTATGTTGCCATCATCTTTTGGTATGAGAAAATTTTGATCCTAAAACACAAAACGGTCAAAAGGCTATTCAAATATGAAAATGTAAAGAAATAGCGAGTCCTTCAAAATAATTTTGCCGGCTATAAAGCGTTAGTCAGAGACCTAACAATAGTGTGGAAGGAAAGACCAGTCGATCTTATAACTGTAAATATCAAAATAGATATACGAGCAAGTTTGTTGGTATTCGAATTGAGGTTCACGTGACACTTAGAGCCCTTGGCACATACCTCCCATTGTGTTCCATGTCCAGCAAAATAGAACAAGACCAAGTCTCCTTCTTTTATTGAGTGCTTAAATTCAACTAGAGCGATTTCCATATCTTTGTGTGTCAAATCTAATTTTGGTCCATCACAACTAAAGCCAATGCTAATCAACTTGGATGACATATCACGAGCGTCTTTTTCTGTATTAGATAATGTTTCACCACTCTCATAATCGCCAATGCCAATTACAAGTGCTAACTTCCGGCGTGGTCCAGAAATTGTATCACGTCCAGATTTGGTAGCCATTAGAAAATAATATTAATCTAAAAGGATACTGCTGGTACTGCGTGATATATCCCCCTGGCCAAAATAAACTGGACACCTCATTTTTTAGATTATTTCCTCTCCGTATTATCATTTGGACTGCTATTTTTACTGCAGATAGCCAGTCGATTGCTCAATCTATCCTGAAAGTTTCAGCTCTATAGAATGAGAAATCGTTGAGAAAACTACAAATATGTCTTATGTAATCATGCATCACTGAAACCGAAATTTAGTGCTTTGTTTATTTCTCTATGATTTTGGTTTCTATTTGAGATCACGTATGATAGTTAGTTAACTAGTATAGTTCACGACAGACAGAGGCATCTTCAACTCGAACGTTTAGTATTGAAGGCTTGGGAACAAATTCCACTTTCCATTATTCAAAAATATATCGATCACATTCGTGTGGGGGTGTGGGGTGTGTGGGTTTGGATGGGTGTGGGTGTGGGTGTGGGTGGTGGTGTGGCTGCGGCTGTGGGGTGTGGGTGTAGGTGTGGTGTGGGTGTGGGTGTAGGTGTGGTGTGGGTGTGGGTGTAAGTGTGGTGTGGGTGTGGATGGGTGTGGATGTAGGTGGTGGGTGTGGGCGTGGGTGTAGGTGTGGTGTCGGTATAGGTTGGTGCGGGTGTGGGTGTGGGTGTGGGTGGGTGTGAGTGGGGTGGGTGTGGATGTGGGTGGGTGGGGTTGTGGGGCGAATGCGGGTGTTTGTATTTTACTCTTTGCCACCCATACTCACACCCTCAAGCAACCGAAAACAGTTGATGTAGCTGTATTTGGTACAGATGGCTTGAGGAAGCTCACGATAATTAAAAGGCACCATTTCGATTGTAACCAATCATCTTTCTAAGAGATTAAAATTATTCATAAAATAACATGTAGAATTCAAATAGAGCAGGAGAATCGCAGTAAATCAGTGGTTTTAGAACATTTTTACGGCATGAGTAGCGAATCAATAGGACCCGAGGCTGGCATACATTGACTTATCGATCGGTATATGTAATGTCGATCATAATTGACAATGTCATATTTGTATTAGTCGTCCCTAATATTCTCTGTATCTCGATACTATGTACATTGCATTCAAAATAGTTTCTTTTCCTTTTCAAATCTTCTTAATAATTAACTCACCACAACCAAAAAATTGCAATTGATACGTTTGCTGCTGGTTGAGATTTTTGTGCGTCGTACACTGTTTGCCTGTTTTCTATTTCAAATGACTCGACTTTTACTTTTGCAGCATGACAACTTTTTTGTTTCGTTCTGTGTGCTTTGACTCTTTCTTTTTCGTCTTTTTAAAATTCTCTTCAAATATGCATACTATTGAAAAGGACTTCGCATAGCAACAATAGAATATTCACAGGACGAATGGGCGAAGAGTAATGACAAACAAGCCAAAAACAAACATACATATGCAAAGAAATTCATTCCAATATAATTTGAGGTAACTCAGATCATTTAAAATTGGACAATAACTAGCAATAAGAGATTTCATTGCATTTTTGTTCAATGGTTAGATTAATGATAATTAACGGAGCACGATTGTTTTAAGGAAGAGATTTCGGTGACCACTCATTTCGTTCCATTACTTTTCGTCTCCTTACACTACGTTCCACTCATTTCGTCCCTCATTCATTTCGTTCCTTTTCATTTCGCCCCAAATTCATTTTGTCCCAGTGTCATTTCGTCCCATACACTTCGTCCCAAACTCATTTTGTCCCTTTACAGTTTGTCCTAATGGACAAGTCGTTTGTGACAATTCTGCTTAATATACAATATCATGTACTGTGATCTTCTACGTTTAATATATTAAATAAAATGAAGAATAAATAACAGTTCAATAATTTAGTTTCACATTAGCAGCTACACGGGCCAAATAGTCACCAACAGATTCAAAATTATAAGAAGCAACAATTCGTTTCAATCGTGAATCAAGAGTAGCATAGGTCTTCTTTTTGGGTTTTGGCTGTTGGCCCACTAGAATTCGTTCAATGTCCATTTCAAAATTTGCTTGTTCTCGTAAAATACATTTCGCCAGTTTAGTTATGGTAGGATGTTTCATCGATATACGATTATTGAACGCCCGATGCCATCCTTCAATGAAATTATTCGATCTAGGCAAATCTTGAAGAACACGATCGTGCACATACCATGTTTGTATAGAAAATTGAGGCTTCGTTCGTCGACTACCTAAAATCAGATGGCAACTGTGAGTTGTAAGAGAAACAATATGATGTCTGTATTTTCCTCGTCCTTTCTTTTGTCCAACCCATGTTTTTTCGAAAGATTCTAATAGTTTATCAGCATCTTGCTCGAAATCAATGATCATTGATGAATAAGCTTTGGTAACATCATCAACTGGCACGAATGCGAGGGCGACCAATTTATTTACGTTCACCCGAAATGTTTCGTCGTTGACATACTTATTCTGAAGACCTATTGACTGTACGTGTCGCCGAACAGACTGGCCCATATGAAACAAACAACCTACAGATGACAGAAATTAAACACTGAAATATGTGGACATGCGCGTCATGAACACCTTTTTGAACAGCATCAGGAAATAATTTCGTGATCGAGTTAATAGTTACCTGTTCAAAGTCGAGAAGAATTGAATCAGGATCAAAGTCAAACTCCAACAACAATTTCTCAAATAATTGCTCATAATCCATAGCTTTTTTACCAACAAGTAAGGCATATCACTAATGGCACGATCTGACATGTGTACAGTCCATGCACTGTAAATAAATGGAAGAACTTCTCCAGACATACTTGAAAAGAAAACAAGCAAGTGAGGTGATCAAAAGTCATTATACTCACACTAAACGTGCCATCGCAAAACCAATGTTTGCATTCTTTTAGCACACTGATATTCGATTTGTTTGTGAAAATGATCATTGAATCGTGTTCAAATAAGACAAAGTCCTCTCTACGATCCGTTTGCTTTAAAATCTGAGGTAAATGACTATTGATATCCAAAAGAAGTGGTGGTCTTTGACGACGAATACATTGTGACACAGCGGCCGTCGACGGAAGGTCTGCTGCAATACTCAGCGGTATTCTACGTAAAGCATTGTGCAAAATTATGCTTGTTTCTTCTTCACATGATACACTTCGTTCTTTAATTTCATTTTGAATTCGAATCACGTGAAGCCGATTCGGATTTGGTGCATGCGAATGACATGATGGTTCTTGAAGAAAAGCATTCATTGTTACATTCGTCTGGCAACGACCTTAAAATAATTTAAAATCCAACTTAAACTGGAAAACTCTATCATCAACACTTACTCGTACAATCGCGGCTTTCGCATCGAAAAATACGTTTTTCATTAGTCAATCGGTGTTGTGTGTACCAGAGGGTGTGGGTGTGGGATGTGTGGGGTGGTGAGTGGGGTGGGTGGGGTGTGGGTGTGGGTGTCCCTGTGAGTGTGGGTGTAGGTGTAGGTATGGGTGTGGGTGTGGGTGTAGGTGTGGATGGATGTAGCTATCTTCATAATACCCACACGCACACCTCGCATCCATCCCTACACCTCTACACACACCCACACCCACACCCACCCTTTTAGAGTAGATTCTTTGATTTCTATCAAAATCCATTATAATATACGAAAGTCTATAAGAAGTGCGAGTGAGCTCTTGCAGGAAAACACCGAAAGTTGTCGGAACAGGGTGACAATATTCTGACCGAAAATTTTTTTCATTTTTTCTGGTGACTTCCTGTAAAATTCCTTCAGTTTCCTTGAGGAAGTTGTTCGTAAAGTCACTGAAAAAAATCCGAAAATTTTTCGGTCGGAATATTGCTACCCTGTTCCGACAACTTCCGGTGTTTTTCTACAGAATCCTGCGAGATCCGATGATCGGAATCCTCAACCTGGGACTATCAGACCGCTACCCAAAACAAGAGAGAAAAGTTAGATCCTCATGGATTCTTGAGTAGTAACTTGATTAGTCTGCATTAACGATTGTAGTTTAACTCTCTAAGTACTATATATGAAATGAAGGTTGATGAAAAACTGAATATAGGGATTTAATGAATAAGGTATACTGCATTTATTACTTTTTAGGATTATTTAAATGTTTATCTGCTATATAGAGAAATTAGTTCTTATTTACGGTTTCATTGATTATAAGATATTAATCATTTCCATAAAAAATTACATCTGAAGATCATCTTGAAAAATTTCTCGAAAACATTTTAGCACGAAACACATAGATGACGAAGTTTCTATTATAGTTTTTAGAAATATGTAGATGAAATGTGAAAACTATAAAATAAGAGCTAATTTCTGTATATAATATAGTAGAAAAATATTTAAATTATTCTAAGAACCAACAAATACATTATATCCTATTCATTTGGGTATATCAATAGTTACTAATATCATTTACAATTGAAATTACAAGAAAATATTGTAAAGGTGTTATTGCTCATCCTCTAATTTAACTTTTAAAATATAAATCATTAATTTTAACCTTATTATTATATCAATATGTTTTGAACGCTTAAGTTTCATTGTTTGTGTCAATTGAAATATATTAAAGCTCATCAAAATTCGTCAAAAGTTTTTAAAAAAAAGTCCTTTATAATTCATTAAATCCCACTGAAAACTAATTTAACTAAGAAAAACTATCTTCATCTTAGATCAAAGATGCAAATTTTGATCATATCATAGTGTTTAATATTTCAGTGAAAAATATTTGATTCAAACAACGAAAAAATTCTTCCGAAAAAAAAACTGCGGTAATCTGAGGTTAACCGCGGTTTTGTTCCACATTTTGAAAAACCGCGAAAGTCAGACCGTTTATACGGTTTTTTGAAACCGGCGAAAACTACGGTGAGAACCGAGAAAACCGAGGTTCGAGCTGAGTTTTTGCAGGTCTAACCGCATAAAAGGTCTGACTTTCGCGGTTTTTTCTTGAAAAATTTTTCGTGGGTTAAAAGTCCTTTTTTTGGTTTTAAGCAAATAAAACGTTCGAACAAAAGTATA